ACATATTTTTGTGTGAAACCTCAAATCCTGCTTTAAACCTCATTTTACCTTTTAAACTAACGTTTTGACTACTTTCTGCCTGTCTCCAGGTGTCCAGTTCCTGGCTGCGACAGTCTGGGCCACATTAGTGGGAAGTACGCCACCCACCGCAGTGCCTACGGCTGTCCGTTGGCAGCACGCCGGCAGAAGGAAGGTCTTCTTAATGGCACTCCTTTCTCCTGGAAGGCCTTCAAGACTGAGGGCCCGACCTGCCCGACGCCAGGCTGCGACGGCTCCGGACACGCTAACGGCAGCTTTCTGACGCACCGCAGGTATACTGAATGTCTGAGCTTCAGCACACAGAGAGCAGTGTGATCAAGTGAATTGAGCTGCTGGGCCCCCATTTATCGCTCATGAGCATTATGTACATAGAAAATCTCAGCCTTGTTAGAATGTAAGAGCTCTTAATCCTGATCAGCTGCTCCTCTCAGTCTGTCAGGTTGTCCAAGAGCATCAGCAAACAAGAAGAGAGCCAAGTTCCCTGGAGACGAGTATATCACTGCAAAGTTCAGAGCCAGTGACGGTAAGAGACAGACTGACCTTTCCCCCCTGCCTGATTGAATGTCCCGAATGTCCTGAAGGAGAAGACTCAACAAAATAAAATAAAAACTTGCAACTTGACTTGGACTTATATATATGTTTTATATACGAACTTCACTTGCAACTAGGTGTCACACTAGCGCAACAGCATCTCAGACCAAAACAATGGGACAGAAATAAAATTTAGCTCACCAAAACTGACTTTGTCAGGCTTTCAAACAATCACCGACTCTGGTTTGGTTGAAATTAATCCTTAATTCTCAGACGTAGATGATAAAAACAGCAGTTTCAGTCGCTCTACTCTCAAACCACAGAGAGGCTTTGATGGCAGCACAGACAGCGAGAGTGTGACACCATGACTCCACTATATCTTTACATAGAGAATAGTTGTTTGCAGCTATATAAGCCCAGAACAGACAAACCAAACACTGGCTGTAGATAGGGTCTTTGTGTGCATTTTCTTTTCACAGCCTGTTCTCATTCACAGATACAGATACAGACGTGAGCGGGGTTCAGTTAGTTGCAATCGGAAACTTCACTGCTAGATGCCACTTAATCCCACACACTGGTCTTTCAATGTTTTAAATCTCATATATAGAACCTTTAAAAAATGTGCCACTAATCAATTCATTTACCTTCATTTCCTAAATTAACTTATGTTAACTGTTTATTCCCAGCAAATCCTCACCTAATTCCCCAGATCCACCTTGTTTGAACCAATCCGACAGCATCTAATAAAGCTAAAGGAAAGAACCATAAAGAGCTAATGTTACGTTACTGAGCCCCATTAGTTGACTTGGGACTTGAGTGCAAAGTCTTCAGACTTACTTTTTACTTGCAGAACAATGACTTGGTCCCACTTCTGATATGTCCCACATGTCTCACACATATCTCCCAAACTACTAAAACATGGAGACATCAGAATATAAGAAATCAGGACAAAGGAGCCCAAATGTGATGTTTTCTACAGACTTGTTGCCACATGCAGCACCTGTACCTAGAAAGGCGCTATACAAGTACAGGTCCATTTACCATTTACCATTTACCTGTAATAGAAATCTGTGACGGCCAGAGGAGGTGTGTTAAGGTGTGTTTGCTGTGTGTTGTTGCTCTTGCTTAGTTCTGGACAATGATGAGGACATCAAGCAGCTCAACAAGGAGATCAACGAGCTCAACGAGTCCAACTCAGAGATGGAGGCCGATATGATGAACCTGCACACTCAGGTGAGCTCAGCTGCTCAGCTCACTGCACACGGACGAGGATGAGACATGTTTCTTGTAGGAGACACTGCTCATAGATTTCTCATAGACCACACAAGACGTCTGTAAAGCTGTTGACAGTGAATATTTCTGTGTTCTGTATCTGTCTTGGCTTCAGATCTCTTCGATGGAGAAGAATCTGAAGAGTATGGAGGAGGAGAATAAACAGATCGAGGAGAGGAACGAAGCTCTGTTCCTGGAGCTATCTGGCCTGAGTCAGGCCCTGATCCGCAGCCTGGCCAACATCCGCCTGCCTGCCATGGTAAGTGTACACAAATTGTTTTAAACCAGGACAAATTACCTTCGCCTAGAGAGTATCTCACTTCAACAGAAGCAAATAACAGCCATAATAATTTGTCAATCTTAGAAGAAATGAGCACCCGATTGCAAAATTTAACCAAAAGCAGCAAGAACATCTGGCTACCAAGGATGAACAATTTAGCCTGAATGGAACTGATTTGTCCTTTGAGGTTACACTCTGTCTGTCCCAACACCCCAGCATCTATTCTTTGGGCTAGACTGATGGAAGGCAGGTCAAAGTTTTAACTCGTTCTGTGAAACATCTCAGCATCTACCAGATGGACTGGCACATATAAATGCAAAATATTTGTTGTCCCCAGAGGATTAATTCAATTGACTTTGGCAATCCTGTTCCTTTCTGCTAGCGCCACCATGAGGTTGACCTTTTTGGTTTTAAGTAAAATGTCTCTAAACAAATGGATGGATTGCCATGAAATTTTGTACCGAAGTTCAGGATGAATTGTAATAACTTGTGATCTCCTGACTTTTGTCATGAACCCGCTCTAGGCTCATGAGAAAGGAGGGAGACCACACAGAGAATTTAAGGGTTTTAAACAAAAAGAAGTTAAATTAAACAATATTAATGACAACAAATTATAATATGTATATGTACGTCAGTATTGTCAGTAATGTAGTTAGTGTGTGCACATGGGTGAAGTGTGTGGAAAAAGGTAATGCATATATCAAAACCCAAAGACAGCATCAAACCAAGGAACCTGCTGGCTGGATCAGCCACTTATAAAGCCCAACAATCAGGATAAACCAGGTGTAGCCCATCCCATGGCCACACACTCTGCCACTCTGTCTCCTTGGAAGAAGGCGAAAAGACCCAGGTTGGGGGGTAAAAAACAAGACACTTCTATATTCAGGTGATGTATACCATACGATACCTATGCATAATGTTACACACTGGAACTTTGAACCTTAAAAGATCCAGATCTTACCTGACTGACAGGGTTTGGAATTTTTGGACTTCTGAACCTGTGTGTGTTTTTCAGCAGGAGCCGTTGTCAGAGCAGAACTTCGACAGCTACGTACCCACAGTACCAATAAAATACCTGCACCAGAACCCTGAGAACCGGGTTGCGAGTCCATCAACCCAGGCCAGTGAAGGGCATCCGAGTGTGGGGGGGGGGGTCATCGCAGTGACAACACCAATCTTTCTTTCCGAACCCTTTAGATACTGTATGTAATTAATTCTTCTCATTTGGAACTTTGTCATCTGTTATTTGCGTTTGTTTGCTGTTTGCATGTTGCTTTATGGCGGTGTGAGCGTGAACAGATGAGGGTGTGGATGTGAAGTGCGTGGTAGCACACTGGAGTTAAATTGTTACTGTAAGCAGGGTGTATACAGACAGGCAGAGAGTGCAGAACACAGGCGGGAGGTCAGTACAGAGCCTGAGCAGATCCTCTTAGTTAGTGAACATATCCCACCTCCACTCAATAATGTTGATAGTATTCTATATGAGCATAGTGATGTTGCACCTCCAGGACTAGTTTGTAGATTCATTCTTACTATTGCTGTGTAACTATTTAAGTCCTTTGCAAATGTTGGTTTAATAACAACTTATTTATTCATGTCTGCTGTATTTTTTATGTTGGCCTATTTATTATTCATTATCTATTTATTCAATTGTTTTCCAAAATGCTACCTGAGAAGATTTTAAACGGTAACCATGAGAAAGGAAATAATTTCCTCTGCATTGTTGAACAAAGAGGAAATATTTTAAGATATCAACTATGAATTCTTTTATATATCTTATTATTTATTTAAAATACTGGGATCTTTTTAAGTGCAAATATTTTGTAACTGAAAGTTTTTTAATAATTTTCTAAAGATTTGTTTTTTGTTTTTGGTGCTTCTGTTTATATGATTTTCCTGTTTATTTTCACAAACTATTTTGAGTACATTGCAATACACTGGGAATATTGAGCTGCACATATTTGGTATTTATTTGGTGATGAAGAACAAAGTGATGGTGAATATTTATTTTGTATTGTCTATGTGTTAATGATGGCTGTGTATGGATTAGTCTTTAAGTTGCTCTTGAAATAAAGGTTAACCTGCAGTAAATGTGGACTGGGCTGACTGTGGGTTTGTATTGACTCAAACTTTCTCATACTATTTTTAGATGGAAAACAGGCAGTCTGGGACAATTTCAGAGCCTGTTTGTACTGAAGAGATGTATTGCACTCTCCTGCCAGCAAACAAGCACTGTGAACTGTACTGTAAACTTTCACTGTACAACATGAGACACCTAGCCTAAAATCTAGCATGAAATACTCATCAGCTCTTTCATCAGACAACAGCTGGGCATTTCCCATCATGCCCTGAGTCTTGCAGTCTTGCAACTGCGGCCGTACATTACAAGCTTGAGAGGTTATCGTTGCCCATGTGTGCATAACATCAGAGAAAGAATGTTCATGAAAGGTATTCAAGGACCCTATCACTGGTGATCAATGACATACAGTGCTGTGAAAAAGTATTTGCCCCCTTTCTGATTTCTTATTTTGCATATTTGTCACACTTAAATGTTTCAGATCAAATTTTAATTAATTTAATCACAGTTAATTCAAGATTTAACAAGGGGGAATATACTTTTTCACATAGGACCAAGTAGGTTTGGATAGCTTTTTTCCCTTAATAAATAAAATCATCATTTAAAAACTGCATTTTGTATTTACTCAGGTTATCTTTGTCTAATATTATAATTGGTTTGACGATCTGAAACATTTAAGTGTGACAAATGTGCAAAATCAGGAAGGGCGTACAGCACTGTACTTGTACATTGTTAACTGTAATTGCAGACGGGAGTTTAAGAGAACCATGAAATAAATGAAAACACAGACCAGTGAAACAATGTAATTTACTAATTTTAATGGTTAAAAAAATACTTCTTTGCGCAAAGAGACAACAATAAGTCCCTGTTTGCTGAGGAAACGAGGGACCAAAACAATGATGGCCACCACATGATGACAGGTGGAGCAAGATAAGATGAGGTAAATGTTTTTGAGGAGAGAAAACAAAAAAGGCACAATTTACAATCAATCATGCCCCAAATTAACAATAATAACAATAACAATAATAACAATAACAATAATAATATATCAGTACAGCTAAAAAAAAAATCTGAAAATCTGCAACAACAAAAAATACAGACCAATAATATTGTACAAGGCAAATCTTGCCTGTTAGGCTCCTCCTGTGTGTTCTACCCTTCTGTACTATCTGGAGCCCCCCCCCTCGCTGCTGATACTGTACAGATAGCAGTTCTACAGTGCACAGGGACTTCAACATATTATCTGACCACCAGACATGACACGCACAGTTTGGAGGGCCCGATGCAATCGTCATGGCAGAAGGCACCGCAGCCTTGGCACATGATCATGGCTTTGAGGCGGCATGAGCACTTGAGCGCCACCTCCTCGGCCGTACTGTCAGTAAAGGCCTGGATGCTGAGGGTGGCCTGGCTGGAGGCCAGGCGGGGGCGCAGCTGGAGAACGCCGTCCGCCATGCTCCGGGAGAAGCCGCCGTTGTCCATCACTGACACATTGGCTGTGTAGCTTACTCCTCCACCTTGCTTGGGGAGCTTCCCGTATAGCTGGAAGGGGAGGGAGGAGACAGATGAGGAGGGGGAAGGGGAGGAGGAGGAGGGAGAGCCAGAGGAGTAGGGCCCTTTGCCATGCTCCTTCTTTGCCATCCTGGCTAAAGTCATCTCCATGTTGAGGAGTCCCTCCATCGCCCCTCCGCTCAGGTAGCTGTCCACAGAGTTCCCAGGCTCCTTTTTGGTAACACTCATAGGTTTAGTGGGGGAGGATTTGGCAAGAGCCTGGCAGGAGGGCCGCACACCCACTTCATTCTTCACTGTGGGTGCAGGAGATGACTGCTGTTGGTAAGCGTGGGGGAGCTGAGACTGGGGGGGCCTCCAGTTGATCTTAATAGTGGGCACCACCTCCGTGGGACAGGGGTCTGCATGGGGAGGAGAGGGGCCATTAGGCATGGTCTGGTGGGATGGCTGCAGCCTGTCTGGAGTGACCCCCTGTGAGGACTGAGGACCATGAGAGTCTTTGATAACTGCAGACTCCACAATGGTGTGAGAGCTAAGGTCTGACTTAATTCTGTTGGTTAAAGAAGTGGAGGAGGATGAGGAGGGTGGCAGAGAGGTGATGACCGGGACAGCCCCGGGGGCCTGCTGGGACTGATACTGCGACACAGCTGAGGACTCCATCAAACAGGAGACTGGGCGGCCTGTTGGAGACTTGTTGTGGATGTGAGAGGCTGCAGTCAATTCTGGAGACTGGGCTGAGACCTCAGGCCTGCTACGTGGACCTGGGGTCCTCGCCACTGGTGGTCTGGATTGGGATCCTGGCAATCGGCTGATTTCCAGTCTGTTGGCAGAGTGTGAGGGCAGAACTTTCTCCAGGGGCAGGCTGCCCTGTAAGAGCTGAGTGACCAAAGGGTTGTTGGCTTCCACACTGGATACTGGTCTGGCTGAGGTGGCCAGTCTCTTGGAGGCAGCTGCAGCAGTCGGGTTAGTGACAGAGGGCTTTAAACCTCCGCGGCATTCCTCTTCAGCAGAGCTCTGTCTGGAGACTCTACAATCATCTCCAGGCTCCATTTTGACCACAACATTGGTGTCCCTGAGCCCCCGTGGGTGGACTGTGGGGTGTTCTTGGGAATGGGGGCGGCTGTGCTGAGGGTGAGGCAAGCCATTGGGGAAGCAAGGCTGAATGACAGTCTGACCTTGGCGGCTGGACACGTGTGCCTGGATGACTGGCTGCTGGTTCTGAGGATGGGGGCTGCAGATAACCAGCTGGCCGTTTCTCTGGGCGCTCAGCTGGGTGCACCAGTCCCGGTCAGCCTGCTGCTCGTCCTCTTGGCTCTCATTCTCACAGTCCGAAGCGGTTTCCGTGGAGTCGCTATGTGTCGCAGCCTCATAATCTTTCTCTCTGCCCGAGGAGTCCACGTGTTGAGAAGAGGATGTGTCTGTTTTCCGTCTCTCTGCAGTTGAATGAGACAATACTTCCTGGGCGTCCACATGGTGGGAACCATGCTGGATAACACCGCCCAGTCCAGCCTCCTTCCCTTGAACCTGCTCTCTGGGCTGACAGGAGCTGGCCAGCGTCTGAATAACGTCCACCCCCTGAGCTCCGAACCTGGGAAGGGAATCTGGGATGGAGGTTGGGGCCAATGAGGGTTTTTCACAGCGCTGGCCTGTCCTCTCAGTGGGGACAACGGCAGACTCTGGCACCTGGTTCTGCCTGGTAGACTGGGCAGCCAAAGACTCTGATACATTGTCCAGCTTTGGAGAGGGCGAGTCAGCAGCCTTGTCTGTGAGCCCATTGGAGGAGCTCAGGACACTGGCTGATGTTTCTTCGATTTCCTCTTCAGCCTCTGGCCCCGCAGATGCTTCCTCTAAAGGTGGGCTTGGGGTCTGTGGGGGCTCCAAGGATGTGGAAGTTGAGGTAGTGGACAGTGAGGGGGAGGGCTGGGGCATGAGCTCTACATTGAGAAGCTGTAGTTGTGTTCCAGACGAATGAGTGCCTGAAGACGATCCCTGCTCCTCCATCCCACCACCTCCCCTTCTTCCTCTTCCTCCTCCTCC